ATCACTTACAGCCGTCAGAGTAGAAAACACTAGAAACAGTGATAGCATCTATCGCAAGCAGGGAAGGAATCTCCTCAGATGGGAGATGCTTCCGCCTTTGGGGAAAGCAATCTGGTTACATTTATCACCAAATTAGAAATCAGATCTCTGGGGACCACAATTCTCACTCTGAGATGCTTTGCCATAGAAATAAAAGCAACTGTTAACTGCAGCCTTCTTCATATGGAAAAATCTAGAAACAATGAATATTCATAAATGAAAGAATAGGGGAGTAAAAGATGTTCCCTCTGCACTAGGGAATGGAAGTAACCATTAAAGAGAGCAGAAGCGTTGTCAGGCTGGAGTTAGAATGGGCCTTCCCAAACTTTGGTTTACAATCCTGCCTCCCCCTCCCCGACCCAATTCTGATTCCATAGATACACTGTACCTGTTTATATTGTCAGAAGAACTGAGCACAGGAGGAGCATCAGCCATTATAATACCTAAGATTTTTTTCATCTCTTAAGAACCAATTTTTGTCCCCTCGTGGTCAATATTACCCTGTTAAAAATGCGTGATTTAGGGGCCTCCCTGGTGGCACAAGGGCCTAAGCACAGCACTGTAAAGATATCTGCAGCCTCTGCAGCCCTAGTTTGATCCCCAGCTGGCCAGGGAGCTACCCACATGGCGCAGCAGATCTCTCCTGTTCACCTGCTGCTCCCCTCAGCAGTGTATTTCAGTAGATCTGCCTGTTCTGCTCCCCACTCTGTCTCTGGTGAATCCTCTCACCCCCTGCATCTCTGGCCTATACCCCAGTTCTTGTATGCATAAATAAATAAATCTTTTTTTAAAATGTGTGATTTAGAGGTGTTTTCACCAGGTCCTATGAGTGATACAGAAAAGCCTTTATAAAAAGACACCGTTATTTGTACAGCAAACTACATAGGTTTGCTTCTATGGGTATATGAACTTCTATAGATACAGGAATATCTGCACAGAACCACAGTCAGCCCTCCGTAGCTACCTGTCCTTGGGTTCTGCATTCCAGATTCAACCTACCTGAAATGTGTGTTGTGCAGTCAGATTTACACGAGTTGTGTCTAAACTGAATGCTTGCATTTATGGATTGTGCAAATTATGCACCTATGTGAATACACAAATACTAAAAAGTGACCATAATTTTAAAATTTTAAAAGCTCACTTAATAGCCTTGCACATTCCCCTGCATGAAATCCCAAACATGGCTCACCCAGAGTCACTGTGTTCCAGGCCCCTTCACGTCTCTCTGTCCTGAAGAGACTGATCCTTTCAGAATCCCCTATCTCTGTGCACCCTGTTTCCTCGGAGGTCATTATGAGTTGAACTGTGTATCCTAAAAATTCCTTGGTTGAAGTCCTAGCCCCCAGTACCTCAGAACGCGACTATAGTGGAAACAGGGCCTTTTACAGAGATAAGCAATTTAAAATGGGGTGATTAGGGTGGGTCCTAATCTGTATAAGAAGGGGAAGTTTGGCCACAGAGACTGACATGGATTGAGGAAAGGTGCGGTGGAAACAGAGAGAAGAGCAGGTGACGATTAGAGCCTCTCTCCCGAAAGGCCAGAAGGCAGGAGTGAAGCCGGGAGCAGAGGCTGGGGGGGCTCCCACCTTGGAGTCAGCTTCATCTCCCACTTCCAACCTCTGGACTGTGAGGTCACAGTGTCAGCCCCCTCGGTTTGCAGTGTGCTTGGTAAGGACCCTCCTAGGAAACAATCCCTTTCCCTCTCGTCTGGCTGGCGCACACGTTTCCATGCTGCACGACCCCTGTGAGAGCTCCTATCCTCTGCAATGGCTTCCCCAAATCAGGCTGCCCTTTCCTCCTGTATCTCCACATGCCCATCCTATAGCTCCCACCACTGTGATTTGAACTGTCTTGTTCTGGGTCCGGACCCCTGAAAGACACGATCACTGCCGGCTCACCTTTGCATCTACCCACAGGGGAGGAGGCTCACAAACACGTGCCAAACGAGCAGGACAACCGCAAGGCACGGCTTTCCTCTCCATCACCTCCGGGCGGGAAGGGACAAGAGTGGGCGCAAGCAGCTCCTTGGACGGTAATTCTTCTGTCTTGGCAAGGCTCCTCAATTCTAACAAATTGACTTAATAATGAAAATGTCTTTAATGGGGGCAATATGGCAAAAAGTAATTAACTCCCTAATTGAAATCTATAACTTTAAAAGTAATTAATGAGAGGGCCAAATTGTCCTTCACAGCAAGAGAGCGGGAGCCAGGCAGCCAGGAAGGGGGAGAGAGGCTGCAGAGGTGTCCTCTGAGGCCGCCAAGTCCACGTGATGAGTGTTCCCCCTAATCAAAGCGGAGGTGCCATCCGCCCGGGCTGGCAGGTGCCACTTTGCTCTGGAAGAGGAACGTTTCTCTTAATGAGCAAAAATTTCCACCCCCATTTTGTTCTTGTGCTCAGAACTTGGCGGAAGCGGGGAGCCCCTGTTTTCTAAGTCAGCAAACACTACCTAAGAGCCTGACTATTACATAATCTTGGGGTTTGGGCAACTTCACCATCTTGGAGGCCCTGGAGTGGCAGGGTTTCCTGACCACCCTGCCTGCTTCAGCAGGGCAGGCGTGCTGCCCCTGGATCACAGCAGCCTCTCCTGGTTGCCTGCGAGGAAGCAACTGCTGAGCAGGGATCAGTGACAGCATATTGCACAGCAGCAGATGGCTTCTATATTTAGAGGCCCTTCTGAGGAAGGATTAATGCCATTGAGAACACACCACAGGCCGAGAAAATGAGAGTGAGTGCTCCAAATAAATCCCGAGAAAGCCTCCCTTTGTCTCCTGGTGTGGGCTGAGCTGTGTGCCCCCAAAAAATATTCATACGTGACATCTTGACCCCCAGTACTTCTGAATGTGATGGTGTTTGGAGATAAGGTCTTTACAGAGGTGATCAAGATAAATTGAGGCATTGGGGGGCACAGGACCAGTGTCCTTATAAGAAGAGATTAGGACACAGATGCTGGCAGAGGCAGAGCCAAGGAAAGAGACCCCAGAAGAAACCAGTCCTGCCGAGGCCTTGATCTTGGACTTCTAGAACTACAGGCCTATAAGAAAATCTGTTTCTATTATTTAAGACCATGGTCTGTGGAACTTTATTATGCAGCCTCAGTGAATTACTACACACACCCATACCCCACCCCAAGTTCCTAGGACCCAGCACTATTTGCAGGTTGACCTCGGTAAGATGCCCCCACTCACCCCTTGGGCTCCTTGACCTGCCCCTTTTGAGGTTCCCATCCTCTAAGCACCTGGCTCTCTTCCCTGTCACCCAAAACACACCATGACCTTTCACACCACTGAGCCTTAGTGCATGACCTTCTCTTTGCAAGGATCACTCTCTTTGCCCCCCTTCTCCCCTTGAAAAATGCTTTTCACCTTCCAGATTCAGGTGGCCCCCATAAGCCTCTGGTCCGCACCTGGAGCTCTTTCTGCTCTGAGCCCCCTCTTACTTCTCCTCCTGCACACAGCCTGACCTTGAACTCCCACACATAGTCACCCCTCAGTCAGTGTCCGTGGGATGAGGTAACACATTTATGAAGGCCAAGTCATGGAGTGAGAAAAAGGAACCCACAATGACCAGCCAGTCTTGGCCACCTGAAATGGTCTGTGTAATGGACACAGTGCAATGACAAAGCCCCATACCAGAAAAGAAACTCAAAATTTTGTAAGCTGAGTGTTATCTCACTTCTGACACTACTTAGCCCTGTGATTCTGAACAACACCTATCCTCTCAGTCTCAAGTTAGACCACTTCATCTCTAATGCCAAAAAAAAAAAAAAAAAAAAACTAAGGGTATGTGAATCTATAGACATCAACAAAATAAAATAAAGGGACCTTTTACCCTTCCACCCACATGTGTATTCATGCATTAACTTATTGCACATTTACTGAGCACCTACCACTTGCTAAGGGATTAGAAGTCTCCAGGGAAGCAACATCTGAGCAGGAGCTTGCATAGGGAGCCTGAGAAATGAAAGATAGCATTTCCATAGAAATTGAGTTTCCCAACTTCAAAGGATCCTTCCAACTCTTAGCAACATTATGCTTTGCCATTCCAAACACAGAAGAGTACTTCTGCCCAGCAGAGTGAGTGGGAGGAAGGGATGGAAGACAGCTCCGGGTGGGAACATGGCAGACAAAGGTCAGAGGTAGAAGGGCAAAGAGCACACTGAGCAGCAGGAGAGTGGGGGCACATTCTGGATACATGAGTTTCTGAAGGGTGTGGGTACCAGGGCAGTGGGCGCATTGTGGAGGGGATTAAATATTAACCTCAGAGTCTTCACTGAATTCAGGGGTAGTGGACCGCACCAGTTTTCTGAGCTGGAAAGTGATAGATTTGTGTGCTGAAGATAACCTGTTGGATGGTGCTTGTGAATAGTGTGGAGATGTTGATTCCGTTCAGAGACCTTGGCAAAGACTCAGGAGATGTAGGATGGGTCAGGGGGCAGGCCCAGGTCTGGGATGGATGTTTCTCTCAGATTGCTCAGCTCCCAGACCCCCTGGACAGCACTCTGGTCACTGTCACGCCTGAATCCTTGGCAGGCCGTCCCAGCAGGACTGCTGATAACTTCATTGGATCCCAAATCCCCAACAGAAATGAAAGAGATTTAAATTCAATCATCAGTTGAAATACATCTCTTCCCATCAGCTCCAATCCATTACCACTAGATAGGCGTGTGTGTGCACACACACACACACACAGAGTCTTTGTTTTTCCATGGGAAGTCAGAGAGTTGTGTAGCCTATTATTTAGTTTAGAGAAGATCTGTGTGGTTTAAATTGAAGGCTTTGGACAAATTGCATTTGAAATTGAAAGGGGGTGAAGTAGCCAGATGTATCATCAATTTAGGAAGATAACTAGAGTATTTGGTTGCTACCAGTGCCTGTTTTAGCCCACTGTTACTTAAAATAAAAGACCACAAGCTGGGTAACTCTAAATTTCTCAATCTGGGCCTTTGACAGGAAACGGAAGGATTCGTCTGCAGAATTCTTTATTTTTCATTAAGACCCAGGCCTTTCTTTCCCCAATGAATGAAGAGCAAGCTGAGCTTTATTCTCTGCCTCCCTCTCAGCAGAGTCCATTTGGAAAACAGTTTGGCTAATTACGTATGGATGGAAGAGGCGTGCAGGGCCAGGATTTCCGAGAAGAGCAAGTATAGAAGAGTTCCAGAAGACAGGTCTTCTTGCCTAAAGACGGGAAGAGGGGTGTCTGTGAGTCTCTGAAAGCAATAGACTCAAAAGTCCATGAGCAAAGAACAGCCTCATCATGCCCTATAATATCTGCAAAAGCATCTTAGAAACTGAAACAGTTTATAAATGTAAATATTATTGTTATATATTATTATGAAAACATTTATCAGGAATGGACCCATCAGGATGAGAGAAAACATTGTGCATTTATTGAGCACCTACAACTTGCCAGGAGAGCTAGAAATTTCCAGGGAAGCAACACTGGAGCATGAGCTGACAGAGGGAGACTGAGAAATGAGAAAATAGCATTTCCATCGAAATTCTGTTTCCCAATTTTAAAGCATCCTTCCAACTCTTAACAATACTATGCTTTGCCACAGGACGAAAGGTCTTTTTATTTTATTTTGTCCAAGGCTATGGAATCACAAACACTTAGGATTTTTTCCAAGACTAAAAATGAACTGGTCCAACTTGAGACTGAGAGGTTAGGTGACTTGTTCAGTATCACATCTCAAGTTGCCAGACGTACGCCTAGACACAGCTTTCCTAATTCTGCTTCCCCTAGAAGCAGAACAAAAAAATATGTTCTTCTCTGAAACGTCACCATTAAACACCTGCTCCTGAGAGGGTCTAAGGAAGGAGAGAAGGGCACCACGCCTAGGACAGGAATCTGCACACGCACACCTCACACAGGCTGCATGGACACACTATGTGATTAATGACCTGTTTTCTTTAAACTAAAATGCTTACTTTGAACTGAGATTCCTGCCCTGATGAAGCCTAAATGAGTGCCAGACATTGACACCATCAGATGTACCAGGGTCAAGATTACTAGGAGGGCCTCCCCGGTGGCACAGCAGTTGAGCGCTGGGTTGCGAAGCTGCCTGCAGCCTCTGCAGCGCCAGTTCAACCCCCGGCTGCTCCCCGGCCACCGGAGGAGGGTCCCACATGGCGCGCAGACCTCTCCTGCCGCCTGCTGCTCCCCTCAGCATTGTGCTTCAGTCTGCCTGTTCTGCTCCCCTCTCTGGCTCTGGTGAATTCTCTCACCCTACCAGCTTCTGACCGCCCCCAGTGCTTGTATAAATAAATAAATAAATCCTCAAATCCTTTAAAAAAAAAAAAAGATAACTAGGAGACTGATAAGTTCTGAAGGTTGATAACAAGTTCTGGGGAATGAACGTAATACATACCAGGAAGATCAGCTGCAATGGGCTGTTCTGATGGGCTGTTAGCTTAGGACTGTTTAACTCATCATAAAAAGGCCAACTCAAGATGAGACGGCAGAATGGTTCCTTCAGGGTGCTACACCCGCATTCTCTCAGATCCATGGCCAGCAATCTGAAAAATAAAAATGCTTGCAGATTCAATTCCTGTTTCGGCTCATTGGCTCCCTGGTAGTGACAGGCAGCACCAAGAACCCTGCCCATTTCCATGAACAGTACTCTGTGACATGGATTTAGGTGCCCCAAAAGGATAGATGCTAAAGTCTGAGCTATAGTCCCAGATGACATTGGGTTGGAGAATTGACTGAGAGGTAGTGTGATAGAGGTACAAGAAAGTAATCTTTCTGAGATTCAGGTTCTTCATTTGTCACTTGGAATCATGTCACTTACAATCTCATAAAGTTATCTCAAGAATTAAATGAGATAGTATATGTAAAAAATATTTTTGGCAAATGATAAGCACAGATGTAGTAAGTGCTCAAATAAATGATAGCTACTACTATCATTACTTTTTTATTATTACTGCAATCATTCCCTTTCATTAAATTTGGAAAAAAACAACTTGGAATCTCATCCTAGTCTCTAAAAACAGCTAGAGCAAGTCCCACTTTCAGTTGTAAGAGTTTAAAAATATTTCAAATGGAAGGCAGACCGGTTGGGGGATGGGAGGGAGTACTGAGGTATCTGGGAAGGAAAGATATCACAGATGGTCCATCAGGAACTTCACAGAGTGTCACATCCAGAGGTACCTGCCAGCTCAACCAGGGATGAATCTTCTATGAGGACCAGATGCTACTAATTGGCGAGGAATCCTGTGGCTGCCACCCAAGGAAGACAAATTCTTTGTCACCACATGGCTGTTGTTAGTTGTTGTTTTTCTAAGTGGAATGAGTTAACTCCTTCAAATAATCATATCAGCATTGATCTCTAAACCCCATGTCCACATTAGGAAATTCTTATGATACTGGGACCTCTATTTCATTCATTCTGATTCTTTGCACAACAGAGAGTCCTCTCTGTTCAGTCCTGTCTGCTCTGGGAGAACAATGAGCACACCCTCCACGTGGGACTTGAACTTAGTGATCCGGTGTGGGGCTCCATATGGACTTGGCAGCTCAATGCTTCCACTCCCTGTGCCCCTTCCCCTCTGTCACTCTCCTCCACATCTCTCCCATTTGCAGACATGGACTGGTCTTTGCCCTCCTTTGGGGGCCCCTAGAGCCCAGCAGAGAGCCAGCCACATGGCAGAGCTTTGCTCAACAAGGAGATAAATATGACCTGGGCCCCAGTTACATTTTCAGCATTTCCTGTCTCTTCAAATCCCATACCTCAAATTAACACCATCTGCTCCCATCTCATCAAATTATTTTCCATCTCTGGAATACATCATACACTCCCACACACCCATGCCTTCGTACTCACTTGTCTAGAATCCTCGGTATGGAGTGGGCCAAACCCCATAAAAGTTGCATATTAGAGTGCAGAGGTCATCACAACTGCAGCCTAAGACTGGCTCACTGCCTGCTGTTGTCAGCAGCGTGTGATTGGAATACACCCACACCTGTCTGTTTACACAGCATCTATGGCAGCTTCAGGCTACAATGCAGCAGAGTTTTGGAGGACCAGCCTCTAAGCCTGCCTGATGGGGCTACAGTAGTTGAGGCTGCCTGCTCCAGGCTCTGGGCCCAGCCCTCCAGTCTCACCCACAGATGCCCTGAGGGCCTGCTGGAAACTGGGGGCTGAGCACAACCGCCATGACAACCACAAAGATGGAGCGGGTGGCTGCTCTGCCTTTTATCATTTTGGACTTCTAGGTTCTGGGGCTTTGCTTCTGATTGGTGACCAGCTGCTTCTTCCATGTGTGAAACTGTAAGCATAGGCACAGGCACCAGGCTCTCTCCCCCGGGGTTTCCTCAGTTTCAGTTGAATAGTTATTCAAGATTATATGGCCTGTTGAGCCTTAAATATTTACTTTTGGGCCCATTTTCAGAAGCTGCTGACCCTCATTTCAGCACAAACTGCAGAGTGAGAGGGACGTCAGTGTGTGCCCAGATCTACCCCTGAACAATAAGTAGCCATGGGAGATTTGCTACCCACTGAGTTGGGGTTCTTTCTCTCTAAAAAGAAAACAAAAGACTATTTGACAAAGTGGGGATTAAAAAACAGAATATAATGTGGGAAAGGGTTTGGTTTTGTACCCAGCAAAGGGTGTATGCTCAATAAAATTCTCTCCTCTTTCCTCAGGCATTCGCTCAGATTGCATAATACTGTGTTACACCCTGGGGGGCTTAAACAAGGGACATTTACTTCTCACAGTTCTGAAGGCTGAAAGTCCAAGATCAAGGCACCAGCATGGTCAGGTGAGCACCCTTCCCTGGTTCAGAGATGGCAGGTTCTCACTGTGCCCTCACGTGGTGGAGAGAGTCTCTTTGAAAAGGGAACTAATCCCATCTTGAGCTCCACCCTCCTGACCTAGTCATGTTTCACGTCTGTCAGCTTGGACACTGAGCATTCCGGATAGCTTAGCTATGAAATAGAAAAATACCTAAGTCCCCAAAGAGGCAGAGAGATGCCCTGGAATAGAGTAAGCCACATCCGACTATATCAGGAGACATTTACTACTTGAACCATTTTAGAGTTTGCTACTCAATACATCATGACCCCTCCTAAGGCATCTCTCAATCATAACAAAAACATATGCATTAGTTCAGCTAAATTCCATCTTCTTTGTTCTCTATTCCTTGAACTTCAGAATTGGCAAGTCATGACGATGGGCTCATGGGTCATACAGAAAAGGTGGCAGTCCAACAAAAGGAAAAAGATAGGATAAATATCATAACAAAATGGAATAACTATATAAGGGGGAGAAAAGAACTTTTTTCAGCTTTCCAGCTGAAATTTTCAACCCCTTCAAAATTCCTAAAATTCCTTATTTAAAAAAATACAAAAAGCTTCTTAAATACAAAAGCTATTGTCTGGAAAGTAAGAAAATGCCTCCAAGCCAAAAAAATTAAATGGGACCAGGAATCCAGGAACATGGTAAAATGCAGAGGCTGCCCTAGGGTAGCTTTCAATCCCCCAAGATCCTGTACCCCCACTTCATTCACCCCCACATAGGGAAAGAAGACAGGCTCAGGATCCCTCAAAGTTTGGGAATAAGATCAGACATTTTGTGCAATACCACAATCTGAGGGATACACTTTCAAGGAGCCAAGAACTAGAAAGAAATCTCCCCTTGCAAGACATGATTCAGAGGTCAGCTGTGGCTGAGCCTTCCTTACAAGGAGAGCGATGGGGTGGCAGGTGGGGACTACTACATAGTGTCCCTTGAGAATTCCCAGCCACAAGCACATATTCACAGGGATTGGGGACTGAGTTTATTGTACAGTCATGAGCCACATAATCATGCTCAGCAAGGCACCACACATGTGAATGGGGGCCCCTCTGTGTAGTGTAGGTGTGTAGTTTGTATAATTACACTCTGATATTTAAATGACAAAATCACGTAACAATGCATTTCCCAGAATATATCCTCACCATTAAGCAGTGCCTGACTGTATTTGATTTTTTTTAAAGCCCAACTTAAAAATTTAAAGTGGTCCTGAGTTAGTAGTGCCTCCAAGCCACTGGCAAGTAGCCCAAGCAACCTGAAGCAAACCTGCATGTTCTTAATGTACCCTCAAAAAATTATCACAGGCATGTGTGCTAAGAAATATGAGTTTACAACAAAAAAAAAAAAACACAAAACATATGAGGGGAAAAAAATATGAGAATCAAAAAAAAAAGCTTAGGAGACACAGAGCTACAAACAAAGGCTTTGTCGACATGCAGCATGTCCTATAGTGTCCTATAGGGATATCACACATGGAAATCCCAGGGGACAATAAAGAGACCAAATTATCCAAGAACTGGGGTTAGGGTTGAACAGAAAATGCCCAAAAGTTGACCAGTGGTCTGCAGTGGCACCCTACAAGAGGTGGGGTATCCCCATCATGAAAGTCATTTGGGGGTACCACACAAGTACCTGGAGAAGTGGCCCCATTGAGAAGGAGACAGAGGTCACTCACAGGGACCTAGGATGCACAAAGGTGGTCAGGGAGTCAAGAACCACCCTTGACCTCAGACCTGGGAGTAGTCCAGAGATGGGGCTTCTCCAGCTCACCCTGCTTTGTCCCATTCTCCCCTATGTCAACAAAAGTAGGTGGGATAAAGAAATGCTGCCCACCAGCAACTTGAAAAAAATTAATGAATATTAAACTCAATGCCTTACTCTGTTCAGGCTGCGTAACAAGTAACATGGACTGGGGGTGGTAGGGGAATGGGGTGGGAGTGGGTATCAACAATAGAAATATATCTGTTCTGGAGGTTCCAACTTCCAAGTTGGAGATAAGGGCACTAATGTGCCAGGTTCTGGTGAGCTCTCTTTCCCAGGTTGCAGACAGCTGACATGTTATACCCTCACAGGGCAGAAAGGGAGTGAGAATTTTCTGGGGTCCCTTTCATAAAGGCACGAGTTCCATTAATGAGCACTTTACCCTCATGACCTAATCACCTTCTGAAGTGCCCATCTTCTAATACCATCACATTGGGGTTCAGGATTGCAACACACTAAAGAGGGGTGGGGTAAGGGGAGCACAAAGATTCAGCCCTTAAAAATTTTATTTGACTTTGGGTAGAACATGAAAGAAATAAAGAAGTGAACGATGAAAATGAATTAACCAAACTCTCAAAATGAAAAGGCAGAGAGAAGGAGATATCTGAGTTTAGAAGTGTCTAAGATCCAGAGTAAATAGTCTCAGTTTCACAAAATTACCCCTTTCAGTTTCAATCTTTTATATTTTAATCATCTGCAGCCCTGGACATGGTCTTTACCATGAAGATGAGGGCTCAGAATGAACACAAGGATAATGAAGGTGAAACACTATTATATTTAATACTATAATATCATTAAAGCAACTGTAGTCAGAGATCAAGGACTTTTCAAATTAATTATTTCTTGTTCCAACATATACCATGAAATGGGCTTTCTAAATCAGAATGGCACAGTCCAACCTTTTCTTTATTAAGATAATTCTATTTTATTTCTTGGATTGCTGCAGCCTAGACAAGTTTTAT